TCGGCCTTGACTTGTTGACAGGTCAGACATCGCCTAACGAACTCTGCGACGTCCTTTTTCATGCCTCTCCTCCAAAACGACCCCTTCAGGTCGTGGTACATCTTCGTGCTCCCTGGATGGGCCAAGTAAGGTGCGGTATGTGCCTCTGATAGAATCTCCTTCCGCAAAGCCTCGGCCTTCGGGACCACGATCCTGCCTCTGAACTCTAAGGCACCATCGGCGCCTATCTAGAAATCCTGTACTCCTCCGGCGCGAACCTTAGCCTCCATGACACGTACAAACTCGTCAGAAACCTGCTCTCGCCGGATCCTCTCCCTCAGTGTCGGCTGCAACTGCATAGCACTGACACTGGCACTAGTGCTCCCCGAGACAGCTATGGGGAGTGCATCAATCGCCTGAAGCTGCATCCGGGCGAACTCATGGATCAATGGACTCTGCTGCGTGATGACGTACGTCAAGTCTCCCGTCACCTTTCGGCTTAGGGCATCTGCGACGACGTTCGCCTTCCCCGGATTGTACTGGATCGAACAATCATAGTCCTTGACCAACTCGAGCCAACGGTGCTGTCTCATATTAAGCTCCTTCTGCGTGAAGATGTACTGTAGGCTCTTATGGTCTGTGAATATCTCGCAGCGTCCGCCGTAAAGATAATGACGCCAGATCATCAGGGCGTGAACGACTGCGGCTAACTCTAAGTCGTGCGTAGGATAGTTCTGCTCATGGGGCTTAAGCTGGCACGACGCGTACGCAACGACCTGTCCGTCCTGCATGAGGACACATCCCAAGCCCTGCCTCGAAGCATCACTGTAGATGGTGAAACTCCGAGTAGGATCTGGGATAGTCAACACCAGTGCTGTGGTCAATCTCCTCTTGAGCTCCTGGAAGCTCGCCTCACATCTGTCAGTCCATTCGAACTTCACAGTCTTCCTGGTCAGCTGGGAAAGGGGGAGGGCAATCTTGGAGAAACCCTCGATAAATCTGCGATAGTAGCCAGCTAATCCGAGAAAACTGCGAACCTCGGATGGATTCCTCGGTGTCGACCAGTTCTGCACGGCTGAAACTTTAGATGGGTCTACCTCAATGCCTATCTGGGTAATAACATGACCCAGAAAAGATACTCGCTGAAGCCAGAACTCGCACTTGGAGAATTTGGCGTACAACCTCTCTCGTCTGAGGGTTTCGAGAACCACCCTCAGATGCTCCTCATGCTCTCTCTGACTCTTCGAGTAGATGAGAATGTCGTCAATGAAGACAATCACGAACTGATCGAGGTATGGATGAAAGATACGGTTCATGAGATCCATGAACACTGCTGGCGCATTGCTGAGACCGAAAGGCATGACTACAAACTCGTAATGGCCGTAACGAGTCCTAAAAGCGGTCTTAGCGATGTCTGACTCATTAATCTTCAGCTGGTGGTAGCCTGACCGTAAATCGATCTTCGAAAATACACAGGCTCCCCCCAACTGGTCGAATAAGTCGTCGATCCTGGGAAGCGGGTACTTATTCTTAATCGTCAACCGGTTGAGATCCCAGTAGTCGATACACATTCGCATAGATCCGTCCTTCTTCTTAACAAAAAGAACGGGTGCTCCCCATGGTGACACACTCGGTCGGATAAAACCGAATCGTAGAAGCTCCTGGATCTGAGTCTTAAGCTCTTGCAATTCCTTAGGTGCCATGCGATATGGGGCTTTGGATACTGGACCTGCCCCTGGAATAAGATCAATGGAAAACTCCACCTGACGGTTGGGCGGTCCTCCTGGTAGATCGTCTGGAAAGACGTCAATGAACTCGCGAACGATAGGAACATCATGAGGTGTCCACGCTCTCTGAGAATCCTCAACAAGGATTACCAGGTAACCCTGGCAGTTGCCTCGTCGCAATAGCTTAGTGGCTTTCGCCATCGATACAACCTGAGGCAATGAACGGTTCTTGGAGCCGAAGAAAGTAATCGACTCGTCTCCCGGAAGATAGAGAGTGATCTCCCGGTCATGGCACCTGATATCAGCATGATAGAAAGAAAGCCAATCCATCCCGAGAATAAGATCGAAATCCTTCATCTCGAGAACGAACGCGTCGGCGGTCAATACTCGGCCACCGATGGAAAGGCTAAGGTCTGTAGCTTGGGCTGAGGTCACTATCTTTCGTCCCGAGGCTAAACTGACCTCGAGAGGATCGACAGCAGTAACTGCGTGAACTCCGATGGCGTCGAGACACCGTCGGGAAATGAAGGTGTGCGTTGCTCCGGTATCGAATAACGCAAACACTGGAACATCATTAAGAACGATCATTCCGGACATTGTACCTGGTTGCTGTGCTGCCTCCGCCTGGTCGACCGCGTAGACCCTGGCCTGCTGCCTTCCTCTCTGCTGCTGCTGCTGCTGCTGCGGTCTCTGTGCCTGCTGTCGTTGCTGCTGCTGCTGTGGCTGTGGCTGCTGAGGCTGTTGCTGAAGCTTCTTCGGGCATCGACTCGCAAAGTGTCCCGGCTCCTGGCAGAAGTAACAAATATCCTGTCCAGCACGACACTCTCCCCTGTGAAGTCGGCCACAAGTCGGGCATGGTGGAATCTCCTGCAACCTCCGTCGGGTCCTCTTGTCTGCCGGGGCACCCTTTCTCTTCCTTTTCTTGTCCTTTGCTGGCTGCGGAGCTGGTAGAGCGGGTGGAGCTGCGCCTGGCTGAGCTGGGGCAACTGGCTGAGTACGATCACGAACGGCCTCCCTCTTAATGCTAGCGTCAACCTCCTGTGCGATAGAGACGGCTCGTGCATAAGTCTGAGTCCCGTGTCCCACAATGTTATGACGGACTGCTGGGTATAGTCCGTCAATGAACCTCTGAGCTCTCTGGGCCTCCGTGCGAACAAGATCCGGTGCGAAACCTGCAAGCCTGGTGAACTCACGCTCGTACTCATCGATAGTACGAGTGCCCTGCTGAAGCGTCAAGAACTGGCGCTCCATCTCTGCCCGATAGTATGAAGGGTAGTACTTGTCGCGGACAAGATCCTTGAATATGTCCCACGTACAACCCGCCTTTTCACCGGGGCGCATGCTCCAGTAGGAGTTCCACCAGAGCCTCGCGTCGCCAGTGAGCTGAAGCTGAGCGCAGACTACGCGAAATCTATCGGGGCATTCCATAACTTCAAAGATAAACTCCAACCCCTGAATCCATTCATCGACGATCCGGGGGTCGCCCTGACCTGAGAACTTCTCTGCGTGATAGTCGCGGAAGGGCGACTACCGTAGCCTGAGTAGGACCCCGCTGAACGGGCTCTCCACGTGGCGGCATCTGAACATTAAGAAAGATTTAACATTACTGAATATGCGATAGCATTACTGACT